GGGTAGTATTTTTAGCACTGATTACAATTCCTGCAAAATCACGTTATGATCTATATCGTTTAAAATGCGTTATAATGACCATTAATGTATTTTAAACTACATGGTTCATTTACTAGCATATAACTGAAGGTTGTGAACTGAAATCAAGCATCTCGCATTCTTACGAGCCTGCTAGCTTAGCTTATATTTTTTAGGTATTTTTTTGCTTCTAATGTAGTTCCCAATTACATGTTTCAAATTAATGATGTTTGTGTGAACATTGAATGACAATTACTGTATTAAAAATGTTTTATATACTATACCACGTTACAATTATTTTGTACAATTAATATTAAATTACTTTTACAGAACATCCTTATCCTTCTATATCTCATTCCTTCTATATTTCAAGCATGTTGTTTGTGCACTTAATGCAATAGACATCATACAATAGTTAAATAGGTATAAAATTATAATTAGTCAAGACATTGCGATTTCTCATGACACCGCACATACTCCACTCCCGCAGACTCAATCGCAAGCACAGCTGTCAATCATGATGCTAAACCCCATTTTTAGCATCAAATAACTGACTAAATCCAAACTTACTAGGAAAAAAGGAAGACTTGAACATACGTCAAATGATGTGAACTGCCTAAAAATGACTAACCATTTTGGAAATGTTTGTTTGTTTGGCTTGGGGTTTAATATCTATACTGGCAGCCATCCACCAGGGGGCGAAATGCTTTGGCTTCACTTGTCAGGCCTTGTGCGGCACAACAATGTGGTGATGCTCTGTACTGCCATCTTGTGCTCAAATTAAGCTGCTTACTCAATTTTCAGCCATTCTGAATCTCCAAAATGATTCATATAAAAGAATCTCAGACAAAACCTCATTCATAAGTGCCTAAACAGGCATTCATATCAGGGTGAGACTTCAATTCTGGCCACCTTTGACATCTTGAAAAAAAAACAATTGATATAGTACTACTTGTGATGGTAAAATGAATGATTATTTTCCAATTGACTAAACATCCAATTATGAGTGACTCAAGAAAATAACTATTAATGATTAAATTATTAAAATGATTTTTATTCCTCACCTGTTTCTCAGCAAAATGAAACTGGCACAGTTTTTTCCACAGTTGCCGGTCCTCACTGAGCATGTGCAGAGTTGGTGTGGCTTGTCCCAGATTGACGATGTCACAGGCATCAGTAAACTTGTACAAAATGTTGTTTTGCATGAGCAAAGGGAGGTCGCTCAGTGTCGTCCCATTTGAAACTTGCTGCAAAGAAACATTTTTAGCGTTATCTATGTAAATACAAACAGAAGGTTGTTGTCAAGTACAACCACAAGAAATACAACAGATTGAACAGTTCACTTTGGTCCTAAAAGTTAGCAATTTTAAATATACTTTATATAATTTAATATATATATATATTTCTAATTAAATTATGTAAATAACGTATTTTTAAGATTGCTGCCTGATTTAACTTAATTCATTCAAATTGATGAATCTGAATGTACTGTTTACATGAACGATAAACGTGATCGGGTTGATGTGCGTTATTGCATTGCTTTAGGTCCCGCCTTCTCGCACCATTGGTCAGTCGGTCATGTACGTAACGCAAACATCGGTCGAACTGCATCTAAATCATTACCCTCAGCACCACGGCAACAGCCAAGAGACACAGAGCAGCGCTTGCTTGTCAACAGTGACACGGGACTCCTGAACAGCGTAAAAAAAAAAGTTGCTGTTTGTTTGAAATAACAAACCAGTTCACCCGAAGGAACGCTCTACGAAGTGCCAATCCTGTCATAGCTTTTTGGTACATAATGGTTACCGTAGATGCAACACGCATTTGAAAAAGCGAGGCGCTGGAGAGCACAATTGGTTTGAAGGCAAAATACATTTTAACCGCTAGATGGCAGCAATTCCTACACAATGTCTCTTTAATGTATTTATTTTTGATCAAATAGAAGATTTTTGCACTTCCCTAACCCATATAAAGACTGTGAAATAGATACCTTTGGAATTTGCAAATTGTTGAGCTGCTGTTGCCAGATTAAGATGGTTTCTAAACGGCAGACCCAAATGTTGATGTTGCCGACCAGCACAGACTTCCCAACTTCTCGGATGAGGATGCAGAGGGTGGAGCTTAGATCGTGTAGCAACGCCTTGATCAGTCGAGGGTTCTGATGGTCATCCAGAACTGCCAAACAAACCAATAACAAATCATTGGCCATTTTTAATACCATTTTGTAGATGCACATATTTCAGGCCAGTATGGCTTCTGCCTGAAAGTGTTCATCCACAGAAAAAGGAGACTGTGAATAAAGCTGAAAGACCAGCTCACCTTTTCTCACAATCTTCTCCAGGACATTAAAATAGTTTTTCTGAGCAGCTCCACTCAAAGACGTCAGCTGGGACTTGGCAATCAACTGCAGAAGCTAAGAGGGAAGGAAACAGAGAGGGTGAAGTGGGAGAAAATAGGCCTTTATCACATCCGGTTCCGATTAGTAGCGTAAACTAATTTCCTACATTATTGTCAATGGACAGATGCCAGTTTTGAGAAGAAAATTAAACTACCGGTAATTTAGTTAAACTTAACAATAAACGTCAATATTTAAAACTGTTTGAAAGGCGCTATTATTATTATTATAAAGTTCAAGGTCGCTTTACAGTTAAGTACAAATGAGCATCACATAACAACATGACATAGAAACAATACAATAAATTGAGACATAGAAACATGACATAGAAAAAATAAATATAAATTGAGATAGTGGTACCTAAACATAGAAATCAGCAGAAAAAAGTAGCGAAAAGATACGTTTTAAGGTGAGTTTTGAATTCATGTAATGATGAGAGGTCTCGGATGTCTTGGGGAATATAATTCCAGAGAGTTGGGGAAGCAGTACAAAAAGCCCTTCCACCAAATGATGATAGTTTGTGCCGTGGCACATATATCAGCTATATCAGCAGAGATCAGAACATCTTACTTTGACTACATAGTTGAATCGCCGCACATCCTGAATGGCACTGGAAAAGTCCAGACGATTGAAGGCCTCACCAAGCGTACAGTACCCATGTCTCTGGAACAACAAACACACGGTGCGCATTGAAAGAGATTGAAAAAGACTAATGGAAAAAAAAAAAAAATTATATATATATATATATATATATATATATATATATATATATATATATATAAACTGTATATATACAGTTATATACAGTATATATAATATAACTATAATATATATATATATATATATATATATACAGTAAAATATAAACATTGATGTATAGCTTTGTGTGACTTTTGTTGTTTATTTGCTATTTTTTGAGTCTTGTATGCATTGATGCTTTGACATAATTCCTCTCACCTCTCTCGTACTCTCCTTCTGAACGTAGATCCACCTCTCCTGGAACAAAACTAAGAAAAAGGATAAAATATATTTACAGTAACCCATATGCAACATCCTTAAAGGGATAGTCCACCCAAAAATAAAAACTACATAATCATTTAGTTTACAAACTTGTATGACTTCCATCTGTTGAACACAAAACAAGATATTTTGAAGAATGTTGGTACAGTTTTGATTCCCATTGACTTCCACTGTGCTGACAAATAATACAATGGAAATCAATGGAAACGGAAACTCAACATTCTTCAAAATATCTTATTTTGTGTTCAGCAGAAGAAATGCAAACGCATACAGGTTTGGAACAACATGAGGGTGAGTAAATGATGACACAATTTAAATTCGTGGGTGAACTATCCCTTTAATTGCTTAGGTTTTTATTTATATTTATCTGTAAGTGGGTGGCATGTGGAAAAAAAATTCTACTTTTAAATTTGTAATTACACAGATCTCTGGAAACCTGATTCTGATTGGTCCAATATAGCATTCTGTGGTCATGTATTTTGTATAATGACCACTAAACCCGAAAAACTAAAGCTCACCTTCAAAATTTTAGATCATTGTTGTGATAATTAAGTATAAAGTAATTAAGTATTATGTAAAAAATATGTACTATTCAGCAATTATTACACAGCCCTGGAAAATCATCACTCACTCACTGTTGTTCCAAACATGTACGAGTTTCTTTCATCTGTTGAAGATATTTTGAAGAATGTTGGGAACCAGAGAGTTGACTTCCATAGTATTTTTTTCCTACTATGGAAGTCATTAGCTACTACCGTACACAGTTTGGAACAACTTGGTGACAAAATGGTACATTTTTGTATAACAACTGCTAAACTGCACAATTGCATATTCTCCAAAGAAACTCACTTTAAAATTTGAAATAACTGTTGTAATTAAGTGTGATGCAATTAAATATGATGTAATATTTACACTGTGACTTAGTGTTGTTGTTGAAAAAGTCCTTTTTTCTCTTCTTGGCAACTACTTCACAGACATCTCCCATGTAGACGTTCTCCTTGTTGTCGTTGTCCAATCTGGAGAGTTAATAAGGTAAAGTTAATCACGACAATCCCAAAATAAGCTTTAAGCATTACGTTTACATTAAAGGCATCTTGCAGAGACTCCTATTCAGAGCGACCTACAAAAAGTTATATATCATGTGATCAACAGATGGCAAGCATGCATTTAGACCATTAGACTTTGCAATTTAGATGCAGCTAGGAGTACTAGCTGCATCTAAATAGTGCAAACAAACATGCCAATGTAAGTTCTTTTTAATTATTAATCCAAGTATTGGTGAATGAGGCGAGTCCTAAAGGTCTGAAGACATTTTAGCTTACACAAGTGAGTGTTTGGTCTATCGTCTAGTGAAATTTAACCCACAGACAAAGGATGCAGATTCACACCAAAGCTATCCAAACAACTACTTGGGTCCCCACATATCAGAAACCAGACAACCACGTTCCTCAGTCTGACCAACCTCAGGTCGGTTTCCATGACAGCACGGTCAGACTAAGGATCGTGTCAGTATTTTGTGTCTGAATACACACAAAACCAGTCTGTTCTACACTACTTCAGACAATTACCACAGGCGGTAACAATAATAACACATTTCTAAACACGGATACCTGACTTCCCACACATGACACACATACACACTTCCTTTTTAGTTTGTTCCTCAATGCTTTCTTTGGGTGGTGTAGCCTTGTGGTTAAAGCTCTGGGGTGCTTTAAGGTGAAAGTTTGCAGGTTTGAACCCCAAAACTATCACCCCTAGTTCAAGATCCAACAATCACTCCACATTATAGCCTATAGATATATTTCATAGCATTTCTTACTCTTCCAAGCCAAGTTCATTGATGTTATCTCCCAAGTTTTGGCTGAAATATTCAAAGCGTTTCCAGCCATCCTCAGTTTTGATCCAGCTCCAGCCTGGTGATCTCCAGTCTTGGCCCAAGAAAGGCATCTTCTTCCACCTGCTCCAAAAACCTGAATACAAGAGACTCTTGTGAACTGATCTGACAACACACAATAACAGTCATTCAAAGCTTAAAAGACTTACTTCACAATCTTGATGTAAAACATTATCTTTGAAAAAACAAACATTATTATTTTTTTGAATTGCATTTAAACTCTGGCTTCTGTACCAACTAGCCTACGTTACTGTCAACAAATTTTCTCAAATACAAAGCCTGCCAAGAACCTTATCTTTCTAAACGTCGACAAAACACTAAAGACAGCTTAAATCTCTACCTCTATTGTTGTTCTAGGCGCAAAGTCATGTCTTTGCATCGATAACGAACGTATATTTAACTTTACTTACAGTGATTCCTTTGTTATGGGGATAATTTTCTGCTTTTCTTAGAATATTGACGGAAGTAAACAGTCAGAAAAGCGGAGTGTAAGACACGCCTCCCGTCGATTGTGATTGGCCATCGTATTTGTATTTATTGTGTTGCTACCCGGAATTCCCAAGATGATTGGTTCGTGACGCTGTCGATCACTCGCCGATTTATCCCGAGCGCTGTGTCTCTGCAGCTTCTTGCACGTGACACAGACGTTGCACATGTTGTCATGTTTTGATTTTGTAATGGGGGAAGGGAAATGGATAAAATGAGCGATGGAAAAGACTGACCAATCATGTTGGATAATATAACATCACAAAATAAACATTTCCACTGCTTGGTTTTGGATATAAGCAGCCTATAATAATATAGGCTAGGTTTATGCGTCAAAATCAAGTTAAAAATCAAATTATTAAAAGGGACAGCAGCTGGAAATAGTAAAAATGTTCATCAAGTCTGATTTGTAAGGTGTTTTATTCCATTTTATTTGAAAAATTTTATATTTATTGTATTTTAATACTTATAGCCTACTGCATTTTTAGGCTATATATTGAATTTATATTCCATTTATTTACTTATGTAGCCTTAGGTTCTGGGAATGTTAGTTTTTGGTTCCCAGAACGTTCTTAGAACTTTCCTTTAAGGTTAAGGGAACGTTCCCGGAACATTCTCCTTACGTTATAAAAATGGAACCTAAAAATAACCTACATGGAACGTTCCTATAACATTCTTGTTCGGTTCCCAAAAAAATAACCTTATGGGAGCATCATTAGGGGAACGGTCTGTGTTTGCTGGGCTATTTGTTTAAGTTTCATTTACCTTGAAGGCTGACCCAAAAATCACAGTATGGCTATAGTCAAAATTTGAAGGGGATCAAAAACAGGTAGGCTTTTGTTCAAAATTCATGTAACTTTGATGAAAGGTTTTGATCCAGGTTTTCAACACCTGACACATAGAAATAAACTTGTCCTAAGAACACATAGCAAATAGAACCTGCCTTCATTATACTGTACACTTGTCAATGTGCTTTCTTGGTGTTCCCGTTTTTGCTCTATTACCAACCAATTACAGTATTGGATATGTCTTTATGTTTATGTGGCGGACAGAATTCAAAACAATGTCCCAACAAGATTTTGCAGCATAGAAAATGACTGCTGCGGACAACAACCATTTATGGTAATAGAGGTTATGGTAATAAAGCCCTTTCTGATAGCCTTGTGACATGTGACTCATATTTGTGCCAGGTAAAAACCTAACCTAGATGAAAGTCCAAACTGAGCTGAGAAATCTTGCCATTAGAAAAGTTACAGTTCATCCATGCTGCATAAAAGTAACTTATTTGTGTGTAGGTGTATTACCAATGAAGAATGGTATCATTTTTAACTGTAAGGCTGACTCATGAATCATTTGAACAGAAAGAACGGCTAAATTGCAACACTCTTTGAAGAGTATTTCGTAATTCATAATTATCTCAACAGAGACAAATTCCAAAAACTCATAGGACAGTCATATCTTTGTTTTTGATACGGTTTCAGACAAACTTGTCAGTTTGGATTACAGTTGAATGAGTGAGCTTAAACAGTTGCATGGTCAAAAATTACAGCTTTTCCAAAATCATTTAAAGTAGTGTAAAGGCCACAAACACTCCCTCTGCAAGATTTAACCTGCCCATGGTCTGCTTTAGGAGGCCAGAGGGCTACGTTTGTGTGTGCATGCGAAAACACTGCATTTTTCAAACGTTCAGTCATGTGCAAAATGATGAAAAAAGGTTCAGTTATATAGTTAACATAAAATGCGTTTTAAAGTTTTTTTAATCATTATAAATATGCATTTATGATTATTGAATTACTATAGACCTGCATTATCTAAACTATAACTTATCCAAAAGTAAACTGCACTTTTAGATAACAGTGCTGGAAAAGTAAGATTTTACTGACTGGTATTCATATTTACACAGCATTTTTACATAATTGTGTAAGGTTGTTTGACTCAACAGTGCACACACACCTTATCAAGTTACTTCAAACACAAAACTCTTTACACTATTTACAAGGCATTGTGAGTCAGGGAAGACATGAGTAGACAGTCAAGGCAGGATAAACAGACACCTAATCTTTGAACTTGAGTGACAGTGCGTCACTAATTACACACACCCACATTGGATGTGAATGTACTTGCTTTTTGTCCATCCTTCCGCTGTTTCGCAACAGTGGACAAAACTGCTTGTTTGAAGCCATATCTTTCCATATCTCAGGTGCTCCCTTCTGCATTCCTGATAGGCTTGTACCATGTCCCGTTTGACTTACACAACAATTTGTAAACTATGTGTGCAAAGGCGGTTTTCACAGAATTCAACGAAAATAAACTGCAACACAACTTTTAATATATTATAAAATCAAGTGACATCAGTATAATTAACCAGGATCAAGTACTGGTATTTACAGTAAAAAAGGTTTAGCATTTAAGAAATGTTCATGTCAATTGAAATTACACAGCTAACAAGCTGCTAACTAATGACTACAACTACAAAGTTGTGTAAATGCTTTACAAAACCGTTCTAGTCCTTATATAGCAATGTGTTAGCAACTTATGTTTTCAAAGAGCAGTGGCTTCCAATTGGCTTTATGCACAGCTGCACTACTTCCTGAACTTCAGCCAGCTCCTTGTTTCCTGTCTGCAATTGTTGGACAAACTTGATTAATTCAGGTGTGCCTGACCATCAGGCACACCTGAATTAATCTAATTTTTGTCCAATAATGGCAGACAGGAAAACAAATAGATGGCTGAAGTTCAGGAAGTAGTGCAGCTGTGCATAAAGCCAATTGTAGGTGTGTGTAATTTATGTAAAACAAAAATGTTTATCAAACCATATTTTACCCATTACAAATGAGGGGAAAAAAACATCATAAAACCATTTAAGAATTCACATTTTAGAATTGGTGAATAAGCCAATTAGTTGAACATGAATGGAATGAACATCTCAGCCAAATCAGCCAGGAAATATAAAAATAAAGGTACCGTGCAGGCATTGATGGTTCCACAAAAAAACTTTTAACATCCATGGAACCTTTCAATTGCAAAAAAAAAAAAAAAAAAAAAAATGTTCTTAATATTATTTAAAAAATGTTCTGCATAGCCTGGGTAAAATATGGACGAACCCAGCCATTGGGTTAAAGATGTAATTTAAAAATGTAACCCAATGGCTACCCAATGTAACCCAAGGGTTTGTCCATATTTTACCCTGAATTGGGTTAAAACAACCCAGCATTTTTTAGAGTGTACTAAAAAATGATCACTGAAAGGTTCTTTAGGGAACCCAAAATGTTTTTTTTTTCTATGGCATCTCTGCAAAAATCCTTTTGGAACCTTTATTTCAGAACGTGCCTTTGCTAGTTTCTGGTTGGCTGAAATGTTCAAAAACTATTTTTTTTATAATTCATAATTCTAATGGTAGCAGTTAAGGGATGTCACATATGTAGCAGTAACATTATGCGTTGAGCAAAAAAAAAAAAAATGTTTTAAGCCAATGACCCATTAATCCAAATCTCGAAGAACCTTTCCCGACTCCGCTGCATTTCTGCAGCTGTAAAGCCACTTGATGATCCGAGCGTTGCGCTCGACAACTGACACCCCTTGACGGACAGTCTCCTGCAATTCCTCCTCATGCAGGCCGTCGCTGCTCCTCGAGAATGCGTCATCTGACGTCGAGACGCTGATGCTCCGCATTCTGGAGCTGAGGTCGTCCGAGCGCGCGGAGAAGTTCTCTTTGCCCATGGAATCAATCACGTCACCCTCGAGCCCGCAGAATTTGAAGAATACGTCGAAGTCCGCGAAGTTCTTCGAATAGCGTGAGCTGATGTCAGAGCTGGAGCGCGCCACCCCTCTCCGGCTCTTGCCCTCCTGCTCTTGGGTTCTAGTGACTCTCCTGTGAGGAGGAGGTCCTGGCTGCCCGTTTGAGATGGGTGCAGTTACCCGAGTGGACTCTTTCACGCAGTCCTCACGTGTGGCGCAAAGCCTACTCTCTTTTCTGTCGTTTACTTCAACGTCAGATTCACGCGCCTCCGAAACTGCGTTTGTCTTGTCTTTAAGAGAGAATAATGACCTTTTATTAAATCTCCTCCCTCCAGGCAAGCCTCTCATGAGTTCACACTTCTGTCTGTATAATAAAATCGAGTCCGGTCGTTTCTTCGAGCTGCTTCGTCTTACCACATTGTTGTCTTCTTCAGGCGACGGTGTGTCCTTAACACCAACATTTGCGGGGGAACCGTGCCCGTTTGAAGACCCTTGGCTGCTTACGGAGGCAGACCCGATGCTGACCACTTGTTGGCTTTTTACATATTGAGGTTTAGTGGCTGCCAGCCTCTCCACCGCACTGACTCGTCCTTTATTCGCCTCGCTTTCTCGCTCCATTTGTCTTCTCAAAAACTCGGGCCCCTTCACAAGAATGCGCGACGCGTCCACGTCGGCCGTGCCTTGCGTTTTTTTCAGCATTATCCTGTTTAGATTAGGATAGTATTGTGATAAATCCGCAACAATTGTGTCGCAACTGTTGCAAAATGTGTTGAGGGGTCCGATATAGTATAAGTTGACGAAAAGGCACAGTACTGACGCACACCTTTAGCCTACCTGTTCATACTCACCTAGGCTACTCCACCCACTATAACAGGTCAAGACAGCGCGAGCTCGACACGAGAGACGTAAATGTGAGGAATACTGTCAGGACACGTTAAATGTAACTTAACGGCCCCAAATAAGGGCTTGCAATTATGTTTTTTTTTTTCAATTCTCTTTAGGAATATTGTAAGAATAAATTAAACAGTTAATTAGGTGAGGCGGGAACTATAGCCTACTGTAAAAAAAGTAGCTGCCTTAAATTTAGACACAGCTATAATTTTAAAAGTAATTCTAAAGTATGCTATAAACTTCAATTTCAAAACAAGTCATTTCAACTTGAATTAGGCTACATTACTTTTTTTTTTTAAGCCCTAGCCTATAAAAAGTTCGAGTTTATTTTAATGTAAAAACATTTTGTCATAACTTATTGATGAAATCATTTTTACAGTGTACAGGGAATATTTCCCATGGAGGGGAAAATAAAGTTCATCGATCTTTTGTGACAGCAAATCTTTTTAAAGGATATCATACTTTACTTGATTCTTGTTTTTTCCTCAACATCTGTTAAATGCATTGTGTAGCCTGATTCAATCATATTTCCTCCTTACTTTGTGCGGGGTTGTGGAGTCAAAGTCAAACAATGGAAACGATTTTTGACATGTCTTGCTTGCTAAACTTTTATTTGGTGTATCGTGTGTGGGATTGAAAAGTGTTAGGCTATACATCATGTGTCAGTATAATGAAAAGAAGCAACACATGCACTTAGGCTACACATAAAATGTAACTGGCTTACACTCCTACTCTAATTAAAAACATTCTACACAATTAAATAAATGACAGAAAGACATTGGGAGATCTAGATGAATGCAGGATCTCCATGAAACCAATAGATGGCAGCAGACTAGTGGAGACTACCGGTATGTACTGTGTGTATGTGTATAGCCTATGTGTATGTGTGTGCACGCGCGCGCACGAGATATCGCATGATTCTGAATCAATAAAATCATTTCTAGTTGCTCTGACTTTCCTAAGCGTCAGTCTAAGGATTTTCACCTGCAAACAATAAAACAACTAAAACAACTTATGGCCAGTAAGCAACCATCCTAGCAACCGCATAGCAACACATCTCACAACCTCATATCAACACCCTGGCAAGAGTTTTCCTCAGCTGGATTCCTGTGGAGTGTTGTGCATTGCTCAATGTGCAAAATGCTGACTTTAGAAAGCAAATTAAGTGAAGACCAGAATTCATTTCTTAACTCAACCAAGTCAGAACCAGGAATTTGTGCAGATGTAATTTATGTGTTTCAAGGGGCCTGCTGTGCAGTAAACTGGAAAGTACCCAAGGTAATAGCAGTACACTAAAACCAATATATGGCTTCTCTGACCTCAGAGCTTCCAAAACTATGGATCCAGATGAGATATAGAGTGAGACTCATTATCATGTCAGTCTGAAACACATGGACAATTGTAAATATTCATGCATGCTGCATCACATACAACCAACAATAATTGCATACATCATTCGACACATTGATAGTGGAATGCAAATCCTAAAGCCCGCAATGAAAGCTACTCCAAAAATACAGAGCCCTCTTCATCATTCCCAATGGGAATTTTATGTAAAAACGCAACAGGACAAATTACAACCAAAACCACAATCTTCTAACTTTGTTTACACATCTCACAAAGCAAAATGTCTGTTCCACTTCCACACCTAAGGATTGTTCAAGGTTATTCTGAAAAAAAAAATATGAATGATTCCAGACATGATTTCTGATAGGAAACAGCAATGTGGTTGCTTGACCTCCAATGTTAATCATTTAGGTCTGGAGTGAGTTATGATTATGTCTCTCGACAAGCTTACAATTTATGTCTTGAATAGCGCATCAATGATGTGCACGTGACCAAATTATCATCTTTATTTGTTATTGTATTTGTTATTTTGTTTGTTCACTTATAATTTAAGTGGATGAAGTGCAGAGCAGACAAGACAAGTTCAAATTGGGAATCAATTTTTTTTAATTTACTCAAATCTGACAGGCATTTCCTGAAGACAGCATATTGTGTCCGTATGCAAGGCTGAGGATGGTAATGTGAAGACATAATTAATAAAAGTTCATTATCGAAAAGTAAACCGTATATGCGGAGCAGCTGCAAACCAGCTGAATCTGAATTTGTGAATACAGCATGTATACGCTGCAGAGATCAAGATAGGCGAGATTAATATCTGGCTTGTGCGCTAACACTAAAAGTTTGGGGGGAAAGTAGTTGTGCTGCATAATCATTCTGTTCAGTCAAAACAGAATGACTATGTCAATGGATATCAATTTTGTTGTTGTTTTGCAGAGAAGCTTTGCTGGATTTCTCAGTAAGTTCATTCATCACCTCCCTTAAAGTTTGGCTCTGCTTGAGTCACTGACCCTGGAATATGGTTTTCATTATATCTCTCACCGGTCAATCTCTTTGACAGGGTTATGCATCAAAGCCAAAGAAGGAAAGCTGATATACCTGTAAAAATCTGACATTTATTTATCTGCAAATACTGCCATTTATGGGAATCTCCAAATTGTTATCTTTTTACTATGCATTGGAATCCCACTCACCTCTTCAGTTTTGGGGGGTTTTAATGTTTTTTATGCTCACCGCCATATTGTGAAATTTGATTACAATTTTATGTAAATAAGTGTTTTCCATGTATGGAACTGGATAATATTCTGATTGTTGAGCTTTACCAAACCAATCTTCTAACCTATAATGCTGCCTGAATCATAATCTTGTGTTTATTGGCCGTATAGTTTTTTTTTTCTCCATTCTGCCACTTGAGGGAGTTTTGGTTCCTTGCCACTGTCGCCTTTGTTCACCTTTGTTGCCGTTGGCTTGGCTTGCTTAGTTGGGGACATTAATGTAACATTTCATTTAACATTCGACAATAATATCTGCCTGCACTGTAAAAATAATATGCTTTATCTAATCAATAAAATTGTGGCAACATATTACAAGCAATATTATTAATTAAATTGTACAAATTAGAATTAATTAGAATATTAATTTGATTAACTATTACTCAATTCTAATTTGTTCAATTTAATAAATAATATTGCTTGTAATCTGTTGCCACAATTTTATTGATTAGATAAAGAATATTCATTTTTACAGTGTGTATTGACACCATTAAATGAGAACTGAACTTAGCTGGACGATGACATCATACTTTTTTAAAACGTGGACTGTGATGTTTTCTTCTGAAAGAAAAGCTTTTTTGTATTATTTTCCTGTTATCTTTGTAAAACTGCTTTGAAACAATCTGTATTGTGACTTGATTTGACTATGTAATGCAATTTTATTTCTTCTATAGGCTATATATAGACCGGTAGTGTAGGCTTATAAAAAATACCAGTTATTTATCAAATTTGTCATACAACACATTTAACAAAGAGAGTGATTGTTCAAATTAACCTTTATATCTTTAATCCATTTTTAAAATCAACCTTTCCTTATTTTTCATTTCTTTTTTATTTTTATACTTAGACATAGGCCTATATATTTTTTCATGAACACGTAAAAGCACTTGTGTTAAAATGTATTATTTTCTCTTCAGGAGATTTTTTTTCTTGCAGATGAAAGTTCGAGAAGGGTAGACATTCTTTACTGTGAATGTAGTGTTTATGTGTTTTTATTAAATATATATATACTTTCATAAATGTCGATAAAGTCATTTAATTCCAAGTAAATACTGTTAAAATGTATATATTGACTGCACTGTGTTTGGTGCTTTGTTAAAAAGTGTCTAATAAATGTATGTAAAAAAAAAAATAATAATAATGTAAAAGGACCCACATTGTATGCTTATAACTTATCTCCATAGATTTATGTTACATTTCGGCATAGATCGGCCCAACTTCATAGCTCTCTGAGTTTCTTATGTTGACTTTGCCGTATGTGCATGCACAGTTGCACACATATTTTGCTGTGTAGTAAATTCACTCATCTGGTCTTCACGATCAATACACTTAAGTAGCCTAAAATCTGCTTTTATAACAGAGAAAGTATGGCTAAGCAGGTTGGCTGCTGAGTGAAAAATAGTTCAATCTAAACTTGCTCTAAATATGGTCTGGAAAACAGATTTCCTACAACCTGACCACCTAGATCTGTAAATGCCATTGCCCGGGATAGTGATACCAATAATAGAATAATAGACTGATTAAGCTTATGCAAGCCTGAAAAGACAGGGAAAAGTTTCTTCATCATTACTGTGCAGCTTACTGGCAAACCATAACGCAAGACATTTTCTCAGAACTATGCTCTGCAAACTTTGAATGGTGGCACTTTATATGCAACCTTTTTGGTGCCTTTACTGTGTAAATAGCATAGACAGTAAAAGGTAAATAGCATAGACTGTAAAAGGTAAATAGGCAGAAAAAATATGCCCACATGATAGGCCTTTTTTTTTTTTTTTTTGGTGGTGGTGAATTTCGTACAGGCGGAAATTCGGGCAACCCTCAAATAACCAATATGGCGGCTCCCGGTGGAAAGTCGGTGTTATTCGTGTGCTTGGGTAAGAAAGATAATAAAATATCGCCAGACTTTCTCTAACTTGTGATGTTTTGATTGGAAACTGATAAGTCAAACATTCATCACCGTTTCAATCGATGATCACTCTTTCAGTGAATAAATCGTGAGCTGTATTTGTATCTGCATACTGATGCAATCACTCCCAAATCTCATCCATTCAGACATTAATAAACACTTTGTGATAACATTATATTGGCGCTTAAATCTATACTGTATGTATATTTTCAGAAATGATCACCCGTATGTTTATTCTATTAAACATAGTTTAACGTTTATTTTCCCGGTTATGCTCAAAACAAAAACATTTACAAATTTCATGACGTCATGAGGGTCATGTTTATTATCCACTTTACAGTTTGCATACGATTCTATGCTTTTTGTCCGCTTTATTCATTTATTTATGTATTTATTTGGCTATTTTATGGCAAGTAATGAAGGATAGTAGGCTAGCCTACATTAAAAAGTATACAATACTGTCAAAAGTTTGGTGTCAGAAATATTGATATATTTTTTGAAGAAGTGAATACTTCAATTAGGCAAGAATGTGTTAATTTGTGTTAAAAGACTAATATTTCTGTTAATTTGCTCTTTCTAATAATCGAAGAATCCTTAATAATAAATGTCAAGGTTTCCACAAAAATATAATACAGCACAACTGTTTTCAACATTGATAATAATATCATGTGACACTGAAGAGTGGAGTAACGATGATGTGATACATTTTGTACATGTTTATGTATATGGAATTTGGTCACATGTAATACACATGGCTACTAAAGCAATAAAATGCTTCCCCTTCCTCAATACCCAGGGAATATTTGCAGATCCCCAATCGCTGAAGCTGTTTTCAGGAAGATGGCCGCAGACAGTGGGGTGGTGGACAAGGTATGTCGCTGCTTGTGATGATGATGCTCTCATTGAATGATGTATACATCAATATTTGGTCTTAGCTTACAAAGACTATAAATAATCGCATGTGCTTCAGTGAATAGATTAAAACAGTGCATCATTTTCTGGTCTTGAAGTTCTAGCAGGTATGTAACAAAGTGACAATGGCACTCCAGAGCAAAATCTCTGAAGTACTTTTAACCTAACACTTCATCTACCCTTTGGATGACATGATTATTTTTGTTTGCCAGGTACACTTGCTTATATGGAGATTTGACTTTATTACTTAGATTGCACAAGGGACAAACATGACATTTTGCTGTTAAGAAAGTTTGACAAGAGTCTAAATACGAAATACTAACACAAATGGTTAGATGCATTCCAGCCTTAAAGTTTAAGGCCAGAAATATTCAAAAGAAGAATACTTGGCCAACATGTCCGATTGTAACAAACAGTACTATATGTGGACCTAGTTATTCAGATGAATGCTATTGTTCTGTTCTGTTTGCGTGTGTAATTTCATCATCATCATCAATGCTGTGTGTATGTGTGTCTTCAGTGGAGAATAGACAGTGCCGCCACGTCCACCTATGAGATCGGAAACCCCCCGGATCACCGAGGCCAGGCCTGCATGAAGAAACACGGCGTGTCCATGAGGCACGTGGCGCGGCAGGTACGACAGAGTCCTGATTAGCACTTAGAACCGTGTTCTCTGTGTGTTACAGTGGGTTATAGACTCTGGTGCCACCTCAGATTGGAATACTGGCAGCGCTCCTGACGCCCGTGGTCTGGCCTGCCTCAGGAAACATGGCATAGAGACAGATCACAGGGCACGACAGGTACTGCAGATGTGGGATTCCGTCTCTACATGTGATATCCACCTTATTTTGCAATGGGGAAATATGCTGTTTTCTTTGAATGTGTGAGACTTCTGGTATAGGTAAATAATCAGAGGAATAACATTGAATTATTTGCACTACAAACCAGTGTGTTAATGAGAATGACAACAAGATAAAACACCATGATGACAAATAACAGTTTGCAATATAAAGCAGCATAACAGACATTTTAGTACAGCCAATATAACTGGAAGCGTTTGACACTGGAAGCCTTGCACATTCAAGTCAACACCCTCACATTAAAAATAAGGTGGATAGATGGAGGAGAAAGAGTGCAAGAAGCTTTCAGCTCTGTACTGGTGTACAATACGATGTTATGATGACACATTTATCAAAATTTCACTATCTTCAGTCAGTGTCACTCATACGGAAACCTCACAGATACACAAATGAAGCCAGTTTTGGCGGGAGAACTGGAGTGAGCATTCTCTAATCGTAATTTACAGCCAAAAGCACTTTGTCTTTGTCACACACCATAGATGTTTTTATCTTTCTTCCTTATTTTTAACTTCTTGCCTATAAATTGATTTTGACAGGCATCCGTGACTGCCTATCTGCTGTTGACCCCTGTTCTCCATCTCCCTCTGTGTTTTCTGACATATTTCATCTGTCTTGTACATTTCTCGAGGAAATTCTCCACAGAGTTTGTTGTTTTGAATTGGCTTCCAAATAGTGTTTGGTCGGTGTGTGTTGTGATAAAACACGTTTGGTCCATGATGTATCACAAGCATATTTTTCAGCACATATATAAATCAAAAAGAGATCAATTAGAAATAACGAACCTTCTTTCCTGGGAAGCGGCACTGGTGCTGTTGCTGGGCGGGTCCCACAAACAAACATAAACTCCCGTTTTCACAGACAAGGCTTAAAGGGGTCATATAATGCTTCATGCACTTTTACAAGTTGATTGTACTGCAATGTGTGTTGGCAGTAGGGTTGGGAATCGTGAGAAATTTTCCGGTTCCGATTCCGGTTCCGCCAAACGATTCCGGTTCCGGTTCCAATTCAATTAAAAATATTAGTAAGAGAAAAATCCACAATCCTTTTTGTGTTTATTTCTTATAGTACATGACAAATTAGTTTAACAGACTGGTTATGTAAACAAACTCAAAATATTATTAAGCAATCTTTGCAAAAAAAAAAAATTATATATAAAGGAAATTAAAAAATTCTGCATTCTCTATAATAATTTAGACCTCTCCTTTATTGTATCTCCAACAGTGAAGAATACCCTCTCAGAAGGAATAGTATATGCTTTAACACACATATGTGTGTAGAACAGATTATTTTTTAAAACGGTTTGAATGATTGATTCATAAAGACTTTACTTATTTCATTACTGGATAAATCGGCGCTCTAGCAGTTAATAAACAGAACTGCATGCGTCTTGCGGAAGAACATTGTTGCCGGAGCTACTTCTCTCTGTTTATGTCCATGACGAGTCACGCAGGCATTGGACTACTCCGCAGCAGCTGCGATCCGCCGGCCAGTCTAAAGAAGTCCGAGTATTAACGCTTATTACAGGCTTTACGTAGTGATTCAAGATAAGACAAAAACACGGTTTGAAAAAAAAACATTATGATGCACTCGCTCATTGTATATATTTTGTAAATTCTGAACACAAAAAATATACGGACTGCATCTGTTTTGACCACTACCGTCAATGTTTACTCAAACTATAATCTCACTAATTCTGTAACGGAAATCATTTGAATATGTGAAACAAATAAATATTGAGACTGTGTGATTGTAAAGCAGTTTCATATCGACAACTGCTCTCTCTCTCTCTCAGCGCAAATAGATTTGAATGTAGGCTAGAGAGTGACTCGGCGGTCGGCGCGCGCAGCGTGCGTGTGTCTGTGTGTGACAAATGCAGCGCGTGTGAGAGCAAATCGCAACTTCAGTGGTGAAGTTTTTGTCATTTAGGAATAAGACGGCATCTTCTACTCCCAGCACTTCGCCCACATGATGATATCGCATCGGCATCAGAACCGTTTTCGGAACCGAAACTTAGGAATTTTGCACGGTTCCGGTATTTTTTCAAAAACACAACCGGTTCTGGAAAAGAACCGGTTCTCGGTTCCCAACCCTAGTTGGCAGTGCCTGTACACAACCATCATATAATGATAAAAATCCATCCAGTGTTTCTTTTTTAATCTCCTTTTGTTTTCCCGTTTCAAAACGAGCCGTTCGACCGTGTGAACTCACATGGTCAGATGCCCCTCCCACGATTGTTGATTGATTTTCAACACAGACCCGCCCTGAGCGAGCCGTCATCATAGTCCGCTATTGTTGATACGCTGGAGCAGAATGGCGTCTAAGTGATTGGATAGACAGTAAAAGATAGAACGATTAGTGTTCTTTTGGTGTAATAACGTGTAGGGGGGGGGTGATGGCGCAGTGGATAAGACACATGCCTTTGGTGTGAGAGACCCGAGTTCGAATCCACCGCGAGACACCAATGTGTCCCTGAGCAAGACACTTAACCCTTAGTTCATCCAGAGGCGTGCGACTGCTGACATATACAGCAATTGTAAGTCGCTTTGGATAAAAAGCGTCAGCTAAATGAGTAAATGTAACACAGCAGTCAAAATGATGTTCCTAAATCCGAACCCGCTGAGTTTTGTTTTCGAAGGGAATATTCCCCGCAAACAACGTCAATGCTTTCATGTGTGCGCGAATCATTTCTCATCAGACTGCTTTATAAACAAAGATCAGAATGAAGCTGGAAGCTTCTCCTGGAAAAAGAATCGGTACCAACCCTGCTGCACCTCCAGAAGAAGTGAGTGTAAAGTTTTATTAACCTTTATATTAATCTTTACAAATCGTGAAAAAAACGTTTTTTCATGACCATTAGCTGTATATCAATAAACTAACGTATACATCAGTAAACGCATTGCGTTCGTATCTCACTACTGTACCCTGCCAGTGCTTACAAAAATAGATCAAAGTGACATTATGTTAACCAAGCATTCAGAAACGTCCTGTTCAAGCCTTAACTGTCGAACTTCTTCGCGGCCGCCATCTTGTTCTGGGTCCGACTGGTTCAAACTGATACGGTTGCATAAATGTCCTCAGAGACTCCCGCTGCCATTCTTTCTCCAAAATATACTCTCAACTGTTGTCAAGGCAGCACTGTGTTGTGTCAAAAGGCCCACAGATCAGAGGGGCGGAGTGAGCAAACCTCATTATCATTTAAAGTAGGGGTGTGCGATATGACGATTTTTAATCGTGGACGATTAAAATGTCTCCACGATCTGCTTTTGAAGAAATATCGTAGTATCGTGTTACAGTGCATTCTATCAGTTCAGTTCTGGCGCCTCCGTCTCTCAACTGTACAACGCAACGTAGCCTACACATGATCACACGTACGGGACACTGCAATTCACAAAAGTTCATTATTTGCATAAGCCTTGCCGGTTAAACATTTAATTCACGCGCTGATGCGCTGTTCTAACGTGCGCTTTCCTGACCGCATATCCACGGCGCTCACAGGCACTAGAAGCCTGTCAAACAGCGCCTGAATACTGGACTAAGTTATCTTTCGAGTCTTATTATGCTAATACTGTTAAATACACACAATGTGTACATAAACAGGCTATGTCTAAAGTGAAAGCAAACATTTGAGAGAATATCTGGTGTAATATGCGTCTATATTAAACACGTCGCGTGCTGGTCTAAAAGTGACAGGAATAAATAGTACTGCCGCTTGTCCTTAAAGGGATAGTTCACAAAAAAAAAAAAAAAAAAAAAAAAAAATCCGTCATTATTTACTCACTCTAATGTTGTTCCAAACCTGTATTAATTTCTTTCTTTTGCTGAACACAAAAGACATTTTTTTTAATGTGGGTAACCAAACAGTTGCTGGTCCCCATTAACTTAGGAGAGAACCTATAAAAAAAAACTATAAGGGACCAGCAACTGTTCGGTTACCCACATTATTCAAAATAACTTTTATTTTCAACAGAAGAAAGAAACTTATTCGGGTTTAAAACATCTTGAGAGAGTAAATTAAGACAATTTTCATTTTTGAGGGAACTATCCCTTTAGTGTTAAAAAAACAAAAACAAAAACACTAGGAGAAAATCACTCACTGACTGAGAACTTAAATATATCTTTAATAAGAATCGATTTATTCAGTGAAGTCTATGTAGTGTTTTAATTTCATATTTGTTCATTTAATTACTTCAATGCTACTGCTAAATGGACCTACTGCATCTGAAAAAATAAAGCACTATTTATTTAATATGAATATTAATTTCTGTAATGTTTATCTTGTCTTATTTTTTTTTCATTACAGCCACTTGCAAAATATTAAAACCAACTTGAAAAAGAATCGTGATAAAAAATCGTGATCGTGATTTTCCTAAAAAAATCGTGATATGATATTTTTTCCATATCGCCCACCCCTAATTTAAAGACACATGCACTTAAATGGCGTGCTGAGAACAGAGCTGTTTTCGACCAGGTAAAATGAGTGTTTTCTTACAATACTAATGCGAATTTTTAATCAAAGTATATTACAAACTTTTTATTTAGACCCCAAAGAATCATATTAACTTGTATAAAAATGACATTATATGACCCTTTAAGCTTAGTCACAGAAATGCATGTTTGAGCTGTTTCAACTGAAAGCAACTTGCAACGACATATGTTAAAAAATATGTTAGTGCTATTGTTTTGTCTCGAGATGCACACACAAGTAATGTTTTTTTTTCTAAGGCATGTTTATTAAAGCTACTTGTATCTCCTAATTAAACTAAGGCCTAATCTTGCCTTAATCTAAGCCCTGTCTGTGAAACCAGGCCAAAGGCTTTTTTTTCCCTAAAATGGTGGAGATTTTTCTTATTGAACTGTTGTATAAAAACGTCACACTTGCAGTTGGTCTTAATATATGAAATTCCTTGTTGATATTTTGAACTACAGCGCTCTTGCTCGTGTTATAGCCTATTGCTTAAATATAAATGACATAATTTAGTTTCTTTCAGGGAGATAGGGCAAATAAAGTGGCTGTAGTATCCGTAGCAGTGTGACGACAGCGTAGGAAACTGTGACCTAGAGAATCTGTGATCTGTGACAAGATTTCATTAAGAATTAAATGTTTGCACGAGACCGCACCTTGCCCTTGTTCACATTATGGTGAGCAGGATAAATAAACACGCGTCTAGTGAGAGGTGCGGTAAAGCAAATGAATGTACTTCAAGCTGTATGAGTGTTATTGTTTCTCTCTCATTATCATTATACATTTTCTCTGTGTTTTACCATTTTGATTATTTATGCATTAAACGTTAATAAAAAATGAAATTTATTATAAAATCTGGATTTCGCTAACTTCTAATGCTGTGTTGTCAGATTTGGTGACCCTGCTTGTATGTGTGTGTGTGTATATGTTCACATCCGAGCAAAATGCTTTTTTAAATACCTTGCGAAATCACAGATTTCTCTTTATCTCTGAATTCGCCACTGCTAGGCTTGTAAGTATCACAACCTATGTGGCTTCATTGAAACCTGTCAAACACAAGTTGGCTGCTCTATCACTTTGCCTGAAATATACATGATCTGGCCTATTACTGACCTATTATTTAGAGAAACTGCAAACTCGCGTGCTTTCCACCCACATATTCCAGCCGTCAGTCAGTTATTCCAGTCATGTGGGCAAGCTTTAGCTCGGCCTTTAGAGGTCAGGTTCATACGGGGCTGTACAGAGCTGAGCTCACACTAAAGACATCTTTGTCCCGTTGACCTCACACAAATCAACAGCCCCCAATTATACGAGGAAACACATGTAGCCAAGCAGGCGTTTCTAGGCACACGCGTATGTGTTGATTTCAAGTTTTTGCTCTTTGTTGTTTTTTCAAATTGGAAACATAGATTTGTATTATGGCTCACTCTGTGCAGTGGCGTCCCAGATGAATAATGTGTTCTTGCTCAATATATGCACACATGTATATGCAGCCACAGATGTGCTTTGATCCATTTCTTACCTCCATGTCTTGAGTGATGGGAGCGAATGTTCGAACAGGCAAAGACGGCACGTCTACTCGGTCTCTGGCCTTTTGCTTATGTTCCCTGGAATTTGTCCAAGCCAGCAACGTGCTCTTTTGGCTGCATATTTGCCTCTTTTGGTGTAAGACAGGAAGAATTAGAGAGGAAAATGGAGAGGGGGGTGGCTGTGGGATGAAACCCAATGTGAATGAAGTGTTACATATGTTACTTATACAGTCTTTCTGTTTTTTAGGTCACCAAAGATGACTTCTTGACTTTTGACCACATCCTCTGCATGGACGATAGCAACTTGAGGTATGTGCAGGGGTTCAATTGGTGGGGGGGATCCTAATCTGGCTATTCTGATGCCTTATGAAAGATATGACACCCTCACCCCACCCTCAGAAAACATTACCTAGGAATGTATATGGAATGGATGTGTGTGTGGCTGTGTGCATATATAAAGTTAGAGATGTGCGTTCCTCTCACCAGCTCCACTTTCGACCTCTTCTGTATTGATTAATTCAAGGTGAGGGTCAATACATTGTTTTTATTTTTTTGAATACTTGATGCGGCCCGGCCCGGCCTGATCCAGACTCTATCTCCAGCGGCCCCCAGTTAATTTGAGTTTGAGACCCCTATGGGCTTTTTTAGATCTTTCGATATTTTTAAAACGAGTACTTTTGTGCTTTTACTTATAATTAACCAAAAGGATCTGGACTTTCACTCAAGCAAGAAGGACGTTGTGTATTTTGTCAAGCTCTGTTCATTACTTGTTGCCATATGTGCCAGTTTCTGCCTTGCATTTTTTTGTTTTATTGGTCTCAAGTCAACCGTTTTAGGGAACATTTACTGAGAAAATTGTGCCTCTCTTTGAGTTTACAAGCACAAAAGTGATGAGAAGCAATGAGGCCCTTGGCATTTGCCTTTCTGACAAGAGAATCGTGTTTGATTTCGAGCAACACAAAGTGAATGAATTATATCATTGATCTGTCAGCAGTGTGTTGAGTTATATAATAAAGGAAAGGGTGCAGGAAGGTCTTTTTTTTTTAGGGGGTGGTCGGGTATTGTCGGAATCACATGTTCCTGCTAGATCCAGTGCTTATTAAGAAGATTACAGAGTTCCTTGGATTCCTTGTCTTCTCTCTGTGGTTCCAGGTCTCTGCTTTTTCTCCGTTGCTCAGCATAACAGACTGACGCGATCTCACGGCCATGCTTTAGCGATGATTATCTGTCTTGGGTTAATCAAGATTGAAAATAAATGTCAAATCATCAATTGTTGTATTTTTCTGCTATATTTCGACATTATTATGTGAATGGGTGGTGTGCCTTAAAGGTTAAATGTCTGAGCTGGTAATCCTACATAAAGGTCATAGGTTCAAACCCGGAAGGGATGATCTCTGAACTGGAGAGTTAATGAGACTCTTGGTCAAGATGCTGAACCACATCTCAAATGTGTGTGTGTGTGTGTGTGTCATGGCCGGATTAACCATTAGGGCAACTGGGCACCACTTGCCCAGGGGCCCACGACATCTAAGGGGCCCTGGGCACAAGGGGCGGAGTGGCAATCGGGAGAGTCGCGAGTTTCCCCGGTGGGCCGGTCGTGTTTGGAGGCCGCGAAGGCCAGTCTGATATTTATTGCAAGTTCGCCATGCGCACTTGGGGCTCAAGCGAGGGGAAGAATTTATTTATTTATTTATTTATTTATTTTACATTTTAGATAAAGGAGTGTATATTTGTACTAAGTGCCTGTCTTTTTAGCAAAAAGACGCCTGTTACAAAATAGCTACAGTGGCGTAGGTCGTAGGGTGCGAAGTGCGTGAAATCATCAGTTCGAATCCGCCTTTTGCCGAACTCTCTTTTCTCCTTTTTTTTCCCCAACACACATGAGATGTAAAATGTATAGCCTAACATAAAGGTCTCTATATATTTTGCCAACAAACTAAAATCGAAACCATGATATGGCTTTGTGCCTTTATTAAAACAGCACAAGACTTGAAGAATAGGCATCCTGTTTGTGCTGGGTAATTTAAAGAGAAGTGTGCACTTTATCTGGTGTTTTCTCCTAAATAAAGGGTTTATTTCTTGCAAGTGAAGAAATTAGGAGAAAAGTATTTTCATTTTCCTATATTATAGTGTAATGTAGACTAAAATATACTTTTAAAATATTCATTTTTAGTACATTTATAGACTATATGGATTTTACGTCATAGGAATAATTATTACATTTTTGTAATAATTGTTTGGCATCCTAAAACACCATTGATAATGTAATGTAGTCTGAGACTCTCATAATAAAAAGATGTTTGAGCCCTCTTTATTGTCCTGGTACAAATCAATGCCTTTTCTTTGTTCAACGAGCAGTTCATGGGTTGAAGCTCTTAATTTTGATCTCTCAAAGAGCATGAGATTGATGCATTTAACCATAAAATGTACAAAAGGTCCACCCAACAAAGTTTTTCAAATTCCTATGGGAAAGAATGACCATTTAAGAACTTTACCCCAGCATAGTACAACAAAGTTCCTTTTAAGTCAGTAAAACTGTAAATGCCACATTAAAATGTCCTGGCTTGGACAAAATATACATTTGGCGTGCTTAAGAGGGGGCCTACAAGACATGGTGCCCAAGGGCCTCTGAACTCTTAATCCAGCCTTGGTGTCTGTGTGTGTGTTTAAATTCTTTGAGATTTCTGAGTTTTGTTGTTCTTTGTCTAGTTGTTTTTAAATGCAAGACTGTTAAATGACTTCTTATATGAATATCATTCAAAAACACATCCTGTCAGGTGAATCTAAAACCAGCCATTATACAGACCTTCCTTTAGTTTAATAATCATTCAAACTATCTTCTTGTGAGGTTAGGTACTCCCTTCCTAGAATTTAAAGGCATTTACAATAAAAAATTTTCATATTTTAAATTACTACCATTCAAAGGTTTGGGGTCGGTGAGATTTCTTTTAAATGTTTTTAAGTCTAATGTTCAACAAGGCTTTTTTTAATACAAAATAAATGCTGAATAAAAACATTAAACATATATAACGTTGTGAAATAGTATTACAATTTAAAACAACAGTTTTTCTTTTAGAATATATTTTAAAAAAATTATTTTTATTTTACAAAGTTTAAAACAATTGTGGTTCTATGATGAATGGAAAGTTAAAAAAGCAGAGCATTTATTTCAAATGGAAATCTTTTGTAACATTTATAAATGTCTTAAATCTCAATTTAATACATCCTTTCTGAATAAAAAAGGCTCTCAATAGAATAAAATATTTGTGATTAAACTTATATCCATCTTGAGTGAAACAGTAATGTCAAATTTGGTACATATGATGCACTTTTTAAATATATTGATCTTTTCTTCAGTTTAAAACCCCTATTTCAAGCAACCCACAGACTAGTTTGAAGATATATAGTTTTGCACATTCCTAGTGATTATTGTTTAGTCTCGTCGTTCATGATTAACCACACCAGCTATCAGTGCCCTGGCGTTGTTATTAATCATTTATTTAGATTTATTTTTCATGTGTGTGTGTGTTGGAAGAACATCTTCATCTTAGGAGACTTGCAGAGAGAACAGACAGATCCTGTCAAGTTTCATTGGACTTAAGTTCTTCCAGATTAATTCAGGAATACGATTTAAGAAATCGCACCATTGATATGATTATGCACCAGTTCACTGGCTGCACAGGATCTAAGCTGTGTGTATGGTTTTCTTACAGAGATCTGAACAAGAAGGCAAGCAGCATAAAAAACAGCAAAGCCAAGATTGAGCTGCTCGGCTCCTACGATCCTGAAAAACAGCTTATTATCCAAGATCCGTACTATGTAAGTGTACACACATGCACACAGCAAGATTAGTGCCAAACCCTGGTCATTTATTTCCAAATACGCAATGGAAGTGGCAAAAGGCCCAAAATAAAATGAAGAAACCGGTTTATATTTATATATATATCCCAGATATTATGAAAGATCCAGTCAATGAGACACATGCCTCAGATCATATAGTCTAAGAACATACGGTGAGTTTATTATATGATGTCTGACGGTTCATGTTCATCCCATAATCGCTATTCCAGCTGAGTCCGACTTTTTACTAGTGTGGGAACAATTTCAAATCAACTTAGCGATGTTAGTTGTGTTTTCCACAACCTTTTAACATTCATCTTAAAATGTAATCGTTTGGAAGGAGGATTCTTGTGTGATTCATGATGATTCATAATTTCACGTTTTTTATATTGCTTTTTTGGATATTGAAATACTTCTATCCCTGCTTAAAGGGGAAATGAAGCAGTGAATCAAGTTTACATGATTTACTAGATGGATTTCCAATATAATCAACAATTATATAAGAAACATGACAAATGTAAACATTTAGAAGAAAAAAAGAAAAAACGTTGTATCTTTCGCCGCCAGGGCGCCGCCATTGTGCAGGTGACGTAACGGGGTTGGTTGGCTCAAGTTTAACAGGCTCTGGGCATTAAAAATCGCCACATCAAACTGTGTTTACCAGTGTTATGACCGCGAACGACTAATGTTAGGTACAGTCGTTAGACAAAAAGACGACGTCTCATGTTATATGTTGACAAACTGCACATAGAAACATTGTTCGCGATGTCTGCCGTCAGATATTCCCGTCTCGTCAACAACATGTAAGTTAGCATGTATTTGTAAAGGGGAAATGAAACGTCCATATTTTCGCACTGGTAGTGCTAGTAGCTACAGCCTAGGAAAAAGTGTCTCCGCTCTGACATCCTTCAGGGAAAGCATCGCCGCTTCCACACGTCTAACTCCCGGCACAGCATGGTAAACGTGCGCGCCGGTGATGCAGAATTGACCACGCAGTATGCTCAAGATCAACCTCTTGACAGCAGATGGACTCACTCTGACACGGACAAGTCCGCAGACAGACCCATCTCGACACGGAGGGCATCGCAGTACAACAGCCACACTGACACCTGGTAAGTTAGCGTTGCAAACCCGCTCTCCGCCCCAAATCACCACCGGCTGTTCTACAGAGCAACGTAACTTACATGTTGTTGACGAGACGGGAATATCTGACGGCAGACATCGCGAACAATGTTTCTATGTGCAGTTTGTCAACATATAACATGAGACGTCGTCTTTTTGTACCTAACATTAGTCGTTCGCGGTCATAACACTGGTAAACACAGTTTGATGTGGCGATTTTCAATGCCCAGAGCCTGTTAAACTTGAGCCAACCAACCCCGTTACGTCACCTGCACAATGGCGGCGCCCTGGCGGCGAAAGATACAAAGTTTTTTTCTTTTTTTCTTCTAAATGTTTACATTTGTAATGTTTCTTATGTAATTGTTGATTATATTGAAAATCCATCTAGTAAATCATGTAAACTTGATTCACTGCTTCATTTCCCCTTTAATAGGCGAAGAGAACTGAAGGTAAGGTTAATTGTGTAGAAAACACTGTAGCACTATCGAAACATTGCTCTGTTTGTGCATCCTGACCAGTCTGACATTGACAGATAACAGTGGCTCGAGTTTGTGGCCAGGACTATTGCTAATGTCATTATATTTTCTTATAGGACTTATAAAAAAAATGTAATTGCACCTTTTTGTGCGATTAATTGCACACTTGTCCTAAAACTAGACACACACTTGTTGTTTAACATGTTCATTTTGCCATCATTTGCTCCAAAAGGACACCAAATGTTATAAGGAGTCCATATAATTCATAAATGCATGCACACACACACACGAAGAAATGTATTTTTTTAGTATTCAATGTATAGTATGTGTACAGTGCATCAGCAAAGAGCTTGTCTACATTGTAGGCAAGTTACTATACTGAACAGAACCACATGGAGATGCCAAAAAAAAATCACCTTGACCTGACCGCATATGCCTACTACAATAGACAGATCCATTCAGAATTACTGAATATGGCAACATACATCAACATGCATGTCATCTGGCTCAGGATGTTTTGACGTTCCGTTCAGTCTATATTTCACACAGCGCCATGCGTGAGGGCTTGTGCACTTCAGAAACAATCACAGAACATGACAGAGGATGTGTTTTAAAGCGAAACACACTTTAATGAATAATTCACTGAAAACTGGCTGCGAGTCAGCCTGGCTTTCTTCACATTTCAGTGTAGTGTGATAAATTCCCGATTTCTAAGATCATGAAGGGGCAAGCCACGTTAATGACACAATTGCACATGCTTCAGAAAGTTATTTGCATTAATACGTTAAGCGTTTCAACTTAACGCTTTTTTATACTTTTATTTATTAAATTATACACTTTTCACCTTTAGGATTACTACACACTCTTAGAAGAAATGGTTCTATTTAGAACCAGAAATGGTTCCATCCCCCGCTTTATATATATGGAACTCCAAAATGGTTCCATATAGAACCTTTTTTTTTTTGGTAAAAGGTTTTTTTTTTTTGTGGAACTTTTAGGGGTTCCAAATACGTAGCGCTGATAGAACCTTTTAAGGTTCTATATAGAACCTTTTCTTCTAAGAGTGCAGGAGAGTTTATTGGTGTGTGTGTTGGGGTTGGTTGAGGGTTGTTTATCGTGTAGAGAAAACCTCTTTGGAATGCTGCAAGCTGCTTATTTGGTTGTGGTGTGCTTGGATAAAGTCATAATCATGTACTTACCCAATAAATTAGCCAATAAATCATATCATCTGTATAGATATTTTCAGAAAAGATGAATTTGATGCTTAGTGTGGTTCTGGCCCCCGACTGATGTTTTAGGATTCCTCCGTGGATATCTGTGTGTGTTTAAGGCGTACTCCATTTGCAGAGTTTCTGCAACTGTCAACACTTCTTGGATATTAATGTCTTGTGGGTGAGGACAGCTTTTAAGGAATACTTCACTCAAAAATTCGGTCCTCATGTCATTCAAAGCCTGTATTTCTTCGTTGGATAATGAAAAGAGGATTTCTTTGAAGGACACTCTTGCCCATGCAGTTTCAGTGATTTGGGCTGAGGCTTTCAAAAATACAAATAATCCTTATGACTCGTGCAATATTACAAGTATTCTGAAGTCATAAAATAGATTTGCTTGAGGAACAGACAAATACAATTATGTACTACTGATACACAGTTTAATGCAGTTGAACCGAAGAGCCGGAGATTCGTGAACGATTGATTCGGTTGAAAAATTTCATTGAAAAGGTCAGGCTCAGAAGAATGGCTTGTTATTTTGGAGGCTTAAACCAGATCAAGATTTTCAGTGAATAATGACTTAAAGGAGTAGTTCACTTTAAAAAAAAAAAAAACTTTAGCTGATAATTTACTCACTCCCATGTCATTCAAGATGTCCATATCTTTCTTCGGTCAAAAAGAAATTAAGGTTTTTGATGAAAGCATTCCAGGATTTTCTCCATATAATGGACTTCATTGGGAACCAAACAGTTCAAGGTCCAAATGAGAGTTTCAGTGCAGCTTCAGAGGGCTTTAAATGACTAAGGGTCTTATCTAGGACCCTTCGAGTCATGACTCGAAAAAAGATTCGTTCATTTTGATGAACGAGTTTGAACAAGAGAGTCACGAACGCGCATCACAGAACAGAGCAAGGCGAGCATTTGAGCTTATAAAACTTAAACTTTGTTACTTATTTTTTTAAATGAGCGATCGTTTCACTTGATAAGACCCTTATTCATCGTCTGGTGTCGTTTAAAGCCCTTTAAAGCTGCACTGACTCTCTAATTTGGACCTTGAACCGTTTGGTTCCAATTGAAGTCCATTATATAGAGAAAATCCTGGAATGTTTTCATCAAAAACCTTAATTTCTTTTCGACTGAAGAAAGAAAGACGTGGACATCTTGGATGACATGGGGGTGAGTAAATTATCAGCAGAAGTTGTTTTTTAAAAGTGAACTACTCCTTTAAATTTGTACTGTTCCTCACAAAGTTATTATATAGTATTAGAAGACTGAATGTAGATCAAAAATTGGATCGACCACTTGATGCCTTTGCGTCCTTTTTGAGTCCACATTATCCAATAATCTCCTTTTGTGTTTCATGGAGAAAAGAGTGAGTCACTTGGCTTTGGAACAGAACGCGGTGAATAAATTATAGTAAAATTTCGGCTTGTTTTGGGTGATGTGTCTCTTTAACAATTAGGCCAGAAACTCTGTGTGCTTTCAATGTCATGTCTGTTATGTTGAAATAAAGCCAATGTTAGTGTACTAAGTGTATTAGAAAGAGGTGTTTAGTGTCACAACATGTCATAAGCACCTAAGTATGACATAAAAGTTTATTAGCCAACAGTTGAATCCTCAAAACTGATGTTTGGAAGGGAGTAGTGTCCAATTATGAGGAATGATTGGGAGGGAATGGGTGAGCGTGTTGAGAAATAGAAGTTGGAAAGTCCCTGACGGGCCACCCCAACTGAGATCATTATACACTGTCAGGTCATCCCGCTCTCACTGCCAGCTCTCCGAACCACATCTGTGAAGGTCAGCAAACTCGCTTTTAGGTGAAAAGGTGTGATTAAGGACACATTGTGAAGATGTTTCACTAGGCTGAAGGCTTCCAGAACATGTGGGTCACAGCCATACTAAGGGTTGTTGAAGATTATCGTTGGCATGCTGTAAGAGGTGTAAAGTTGTATATTTCCTTTCTTGTATTTCTTCATGGCAGACAACCAGCTGGCTGAAGTGTGTGGGCCTTTCTGCCAATGCAGAATAGGAAACTGGCCTGTACGCTGTAGTCTGTACTATGTTTGCTAGGGATGGGAATCTCTAGGCACCTCACGATTAGATTACCATTCAGAGGGCTGCGATGCTAAAACAATTAAACAAATTGCATGTTACTATTTGGTACATTGCATCAATGCATGTTACTATTTGGTACATTTAAAAACAAAGTATTTATACCCATAAATAATTAACTTCCAATATATTTTATTAATAAAACAAATGGAAGTGATTTGGCAAGTGTAAGGTTGCGTTTGCCAGCATATGTCCCAACATTGCAGAAGCAACAGAAAAAGAAATGTGTGCCTGTACTAGCAGTCAATGAATACAAGCATAAAATAATAGACTTCAAACCAACATCCTCATGTCATGTGCGTGCGATGAGCAATATAATCATTCAGACAAAAAAAAGAAATAAACATTTTGCTGTAGCAAAAATCACAAACAGCTTTCACACAAAAATAAAGAATTATGTACTAGCTGCTTTCATACAAAAATAATGCTTGTGGACTTCAGCATATTCTGAATAATTAGTGAGGATTTAGTTTGGGTTTCCTGCCCTACGTAACACATGGACCAGTCGTGTTATGATGTGTCTGTCACGGACTGAGTGACTTTGCCAATTCCTGTGCCAATTCGTTTGCCAATTTCTCTTACGGTGATGCTCACTCTACAGATAGGCTTAGATGAAATTTCCCAAGATTCAATTATGGAACAAAATGTGATCTGTTGAGTGCAGTGTCTTTGGATATGTTAGGTATTGTACGTGTTCACAGAAGATCGATGGCTATTTTGGATTTTGAACTACTTCTCAGATTGGGCTAATAGAAGAAACCAATTGTGCAAAACAGTGTTGCTATTGTTAACTAAAACTATTTAAAACTTAAAAATTTGAAATGTTGCCTTGTCAACTAACTGAAATAAGTTTGAAGTTGAAGTACTAAAATGACAGCGCTAAAACTGTAATAAAAATAAAGCTAAATAGAAATTTAAAAATTAATAAAGTGACAAGCAAGTAACGAATCGACTAAAACTAACAACATAAACATAAAAGCCAATTTTAAAATGTGACTAAATACTATAACAGTGTATAAAAAATATGAAAATAGCACTGATGGAAAGCCTTCATTATATTTGAAGTGTTCCCCATATTTTGCAGTCTATGGCAGGCTACATGTACATTTAGATTTAGCTTTGCTGTCATCTAACACTCACTTAAACTTAATCTTTAAAAATGCTAATAATTTAAAGGGGTGGTAAAATGCCATTTTAATATCTTTCTTTGCTGTTGTTTCTTTGATAATATCGTTTATGCTCAAACTGCAACATTACACACTAACTAAAGTTAGAAAAGTGAAATCATACTTTACCACCCCTTTAATAAAATGTGTTCTGTAGCAAATCACAGCATAAATTTATATTGTTCATACATTATAATGTTAGGTAGCATTTAAAATGACTAGTTTTTTAGTGCTGCTGTTGTTATTGATATAGACCGATTAATTCTATTGGTCAGTATTATAATACTTGAGCTGCTCTACTGTTTGCCAATAATAAAACAATCTGACAACAGTAATTCATGGGTATTATGGGTAAATTAGGGCTGAATATGCTCATAACCAAGTATCAAGACATTCCAGCTGTGCTGTCTTTAAACTGGTGTTTTTAATGGTTTCTTGTTGGTTTCCTTTGCAGGGGAGTGATAAAGACTTTGAGACGGTGTATGAACAGTGTACAAGATGCTGCAAAGTCTTCCTGGAGCAGCACTCATAACACACACACACACACACAACGACCATCTTCTGGAACCATTCGACACCACACCATGAGAAACTCAAATATGAATATCTGATTGAAACGTTCTTTAAGTGTCTTCAACACGCAAGACAAATGATAGTAGCGTATAGAGAAGCACTTAGTCTTAATTGTAAAATAAGTTGTCATAGGATGCTTGTTTGAGCAGTGGTAAACTGCCTCTGTTGACCACCAAATTCACCAAAATAAACCGGCAAAAAATGCTTGGGCATGAAATTATTTTTCCGCTTCTTATACCAACACTTTTTAGCTACATTTTTGTACATTTCTATGAGTTTATGGCTTTTTCCTTAGTTTCTTTGAATATGATTGTGGTTGTGCCACTTGTTTTCATTAATTAGGATTTAGGGGATGTAGATGAGGAAAGATGGATGCCACATGACTGACTTCTGCCATTGTTTTTCACCACCTTTCCCCTCCTCTCTCATTCATCCTCTTCATATTTTTGGGAACTCTCCGGAGAATTTTTGGCCGATGCGCTAAGATATTTAGCAACAGAAGTTATCTTTGGTGTGGTTACAGACAAAAATTCAATATCTCAGAAGCATCCAAAGCATCCTTCATGAGCGATAAGAGGTCCCGAACTCCCTTAAAAAAATATTTTCTGATGCCGAGATAAGCTGTTACACTTATGCTGCAAAAGATTAACCCCAATAACCTCCTTTTTTGGTGTACTTTTAAATTAAAGACAACAATGTTTAAACAATCATAATTTATTTAAATATATCGTCTTTTAAATATACATATCCCAACGAAGCAGTCGTACGTCAGACCCTGATATGTTTGTTATAGGTCTCATTTGTACAATATTTACATATCAAAATAAACTGAATATATATATTCCACATTCACACACTCAGTCTCGCACAAAAAACTAAAAGCTTTTGGTCACGGTTTTACTGCAAAGATCAACCTGTCTGCTGGCAAACGGAAGCGAAAGGAAACGTTCATGCGGTTAACTGGTTTTCAGTTCTAGCACAGAGAAAAGGAAAGCTCTCTCGTTGCAATGAACCATAATGGACAATTTCTCGTCATAGCTCCGATTTGTGACCCCATCGAGGCGTGTCGCATGAAATAATCACTGGCTGTGACGAGTCTTGCTATCTGATGAGAACAAACTGCAAACCACGGCAATCCCTTTTTTCACGATGAAACGATGGAAAAACGGTTTTCTTTTTTGGCAGTCAGGTTCAGAGTCCAATACGCCAGATGCGTTTTTTGCTCTCTTTCTCCGACGTCCTGTATTTTAACATCGGCTCCATGCGGAGTCCATCACACCGTCCTTGGGCAAGTGCACTCTCACATCTATTCTCCGGAGACGCCGAGCAGTGTTCTGGACGCGATATGTTGATTATGTGGAATGTTGCGTGTTGGTTTAAATTCTCTTCTCTTGTCCAAAGGCACTTGACTGCTGTTTTTTTTCTCCTTCTTGGGGTCACTCTGGTTTGGCTTCAACCTGCTTGATAAAGGATGTGAAGTTTAGTGATGTTTCAGACTTGGCTGTGATCATATACATGTGTGCACTTGGATGCAGCTGAAAATTCTTTCCCTTCTGTGAAAAATTGGGAAAGAGGGTTTGTTACATGCACTCCCTCGAAAGTGGTCTCCAAAGCATTGATGTAAAGTTTGTATACATGCTTCATAAATCACATCCAAGAGATCTTAACGCTAAAACGCAGAGGTTTATCTGTAATAGGTTGGATAAGTCATCTAATCCTGGAATGTGTTCTCGGTCTTAAAGCATTTAACTGCATGCATCCTCTCTGAAAGTGCGGAATAAATCACTTTTTTGCTATACTTTTGTTATTTACCTAGATAGATATGCAACATCTTTTTTTTTTGGTAACACTTTACAATAAGGTTCATTATTTAACATTAGTAAATGCATTAACTAACATGAACTAACAATGAGCAATGCATTAGTTACAGTGTTTATTAATCTTTGTTAATGTTAAAGGAGTAGTTCACTTTTGAAAAAACTTTTGCTGATAATTTACTCACCCCCATGTCATCCAAGATGTCCATGTCTTTCTTTCCTCAGTCGAAAAGAAATTTAGGTTTTTGATGAAAACATTTTCTCCATATAATGGACTTCAATGGGAACCGGATGGTTCAGGTCCAAAAGATAGTGTTAATAACAGTTTCAGATGCAGCTTCAAATGTCTTTAAACGATATCAGACGATGAATAAGGGTCTTATCATGCGAAACGATCGGTTATTTCAAAGCTTATTCCAAAAATGTAACTTTTCTAAGGACAAATGCTAGCCTCGCTCTATTCTGTGAGGCGCGTTTGTAACGTCACGTAATACGTAATTACGTTCAAAAGGTCATGGGCGACGTAGCCGGAAGTACAGAATCAAAATCGTCCGACATCGTTGTTTTACCTTTCAATTCCTTTTTTGTAAACGCCGTTTGAGTTAGTTTTCACGTTCAACCTATGCGTTCAACTTGTAAACACTCTGACTCTGTACTTCTGGCTACGTCGCCCGTGACCTTTTAAACGTAATTACGTACTATGTGACGTTGCAAACGCGCCTCACAGAATGGAGAAAGGCTAGCATTTGTCCTTAGAAAAGTTACATTTTTGGAATAAGCTTTGAAATAACCGATCGTTTCGCATGATAAGACCCTTATTCATCGTCTGATATCGTTTAAAGACATTTGAAGCTGCATCTGAAACTGTTATTAACACTATCTTTTGGACCTGAACCATCCGGTTCCCATTGAAGTCCATTATATGGAGAAAATGTTTTCATCAAAAACCTAAATTTCTTTTCGACTGAGGAAAGAAAGACATGGACATCTTGGATGACATGGGGGTGAGTAAATTATCAGCAAAAGTTTTTTCAAAAGTGAACTAATCCTTTAATACAAATACAGCGGTTCATTGTGTGTTAATGTTAGTTCACAGTCCATTAACTAATGTTAACTAATACAACTTTTGATTTTAACAACATATTAGTAAATGTTGGAATTAATATTAACTAAGATTAATAAATGCAGAAGAAGTATTGTTCACATATTGTACATGTTAACTAATGTAGTTAACTAATGTTAACTAATGAACCTTATTGTAAAGTGTTAACTTTTTTTTTAATCTGAGTTCCCACAAATTCTGACTAAAACTGACTAATTACAATTAGACTAATTAAATATTTATAGTTTTAAATCAATGCATATAGATGTCATTATTTAAATGAAGGCGCATTTCAATGACTTTAATTAATTTTCATAACTTTTTCAGCATCATGGGAACCCTGCATATCCCATTCCCCATCTCTTCTCCAATTTCTTGCAACTCTCAATTTTCCTTCATTCAGTGATAAAAGAAGGGAAGCACTTCATATTGATGGTCCACTTTTATCATTCTACTACCTAGAAGTAACTTTGTAACTACATGTCAACTTTCATTAGTATTATTAGACGGTCTGCTTATCTGCTAACACTTAATTTTGATGCTCCCTCTACAGCCATAGCCATGCTTCCACCGCAGAAACTTTCCCCAGGATCTGGGAACTTTAGGGTGGTACTCTGTTACCCCTTTTCCACCAAAAAAGAACTGGTTCGGAACTGGTGCTGGTTCAAAGTTGGTTCAACTTTACCCCTTTTTCACCAAATCAGAGCTGGTGCTGGTTCGGAGCCAGAGCCTAGTTTCAAATCGATTCTTTGTTTTTCGACCCCCAAAGCACCAGCTCCAAACCAGTAAAAGTGGTTCTTAAGTAGCACCAAATCATTGCTGGTCTAGAAGTAAGAACCGCTTACGTCAGCGGCTGGGGGCGGGGTTACCGTGACCAACAAGACGAATAGAAACTTGTGACCGCCATTTTTTAAATAGCAGCTAATAATGCTAATAGCAGCTCGATTGTAATCTCCATTAATGCAAGCTACGGCGAGCTACACGAACGTGCTGGATTCGCCGTGTTTGGATACCGATGTAGGTTTGCAAAGCCATGAGCATAAATAGTAACGCAACGACCGGCATTGTTGATGAAAGGCTTGTCCGAGATGATCGGAGCGCCGTGGACTGATCGGAGCTGCGGGAGTGTTTGGAGAGCATAACGTTACGACTCCTGCTTTTGGATCGCTCTCGCAGTTCGAGATTCGCTGTGCCAATCCATCTCGAACAAGCCTGGTGTGTTTGTGCGTGCCGCACTAGCATTGCTGGGCAACATGAGATGTATACAGTGATGGCTCTCTAGCCTGTGGAAAGACAAAACGATTCTTTGAAAGCTCATCAGTCGAACCAACTACGAACCGCCACTAGCTCTAGCTCTGAACCACCACCTGGTTCTTGTTGGTGGAAAAGGGGTACTTGCGACCCTTTTCAGAACCTGTTTGTTTTTCCACTGACTAGCGAGCCCAGCGAATGACGTTGTTACATCACTGTGTACCTCACCATATGTCTTGGCTTTCCCTGAAACGCTTGCGACAACTTTTAAGTATAACAATTACAATGGCGAACTACATCGTCTTTCTGCAAATGTTTCTCCTGGCTTTGTGATCCTATTTTGGGGTCAGCCTATCTTTCTACTAGCACTGTTTTTAGCAATGGCGGTCACAACCTTTCCCACCGAGTTGTGGGTTAACCCGGACGTAAGGGTGACGTGGTAAAAGAACGGTTCTCTGGTTCTAGTCAAGCAAAGAATTGGTGCCGCTTTGGAACCAATTTTCCTGGCCGAGAACCGGTTCTTTGGCTGTCGAAATGCAAAGAACTGGTTCGCGAGTAGGCACCGGCTCCGAACCGGCTCTCAAAATGCTTTGGTGGAAAAGGGGCATGTGTGTTTTGTCCTCAGGAACCGGGGTCTAAATGAAGTTCCAGGTAACAATTTTTCCCTGAGAAAGTGCCTGCTTCTGAGGTAGTACTTTTTCAAAATTCAGCAACTTTCGGGGGTGGGACTTGAGCCCTTAACATGCTGATTGGTTGAGTTCATGCCGCATTTGAGTTCATGCCGCATTTGTTGATTCTAGGTCACCGGACTAATTTGCCTAATCTTCAATGTACTTGGAAACGCAGAAACAGATCTGAGGGAAATATGTTCCTGGGACAAATTGTTCCAGGTAATTTCGGTGGAAACTAAACTTAACCTAACGGACTACTAATACTCTAAAGAGAGTTAGTTGACATGTAGTTGCAACTGAATAAGAGTTGGTTGACATTTAGTTGCAAAGTTACTTAGTCGGTAGAATGTGTAAAATGGTCTA